TTTTTTTTTTTTTATTTTAACTTACAGACATTTTATACAGACATCAAATACGGATTTGTATCCAATTATTTTTTATTTACAAATTAAATCTATCGTGGTATATGCGATTAATTTATACGTAGTACAATATAAGGAGAAACTACAACTCTGTTTGTCCATCGGATTTCGGATTATTCTGCACATTTCGCAAACCTTTTATATATAAAAAGAGACCTAATGCATGCTTCGAACGATTAATTTTGTGGAATCTTCTGAATGAAGTAGAGCGCTATTATATATTGTCTATCTCACTAACATATCCCCACAATCCGGTAAACTACGTATAATCTTCGATACCGAATATCGTCTAAGACGCTTTATAAAATTATGTTTGATACTAAGTACCTTTCTCTTCTTTTTTGCAGGGTATGATATTGTTCTTATTACTTGTTACTGGGGTTTATAGCTTCTCAAGCATGTTAATATTGCCACTAAGAAATTCTATCATATGGTGCTGTTAATTCTTGTCTGTTACGAGTTACGAAAAAAGAGTCGATTATCGTAGCATGGTTCCATTTTAATCGGTCGGTACAGAAACCATAATCATACAATACGAACATATATGTATGTGTACGGATAAATAAAATGTTACATGCACGATAAAAACGAATTTTCATATTTTCATTTTTTTCTTTTTTTTTCTTTTTTTTTTTTAAGGAAGGCATACGCATCCAGAGTATCCGCTAACTTTATAACTGATATTTCGCAAACAAAATATGATGAAAAACGCATAAACACACTTTTCCTTCGCATCGCCGTAAATAGTTGTTGAACGCTCGTTTCATTTATTTATTTATTTTTTTTCTTTTTCTAGCATGCTGGACGATAGTCCCTCTATCAACTTCAATTGCATTTATCTCCAAGCATTTGACGTACGCAGTCTAATAATACAATTAAATTAGAACATAGTAATTAACTCTCTAAGACTTTGGAAAAACAATGGTCTTTTAATAGTACAATTAACAAGAAGTCGCAGTAGAAAAACAAACATTAATATCGTAATATATCGATGAATAAATTATTCGTTACTTATCAATTAGATATAATTATGATTATTAAACTAATCTATGTATGTTTGTATGTATGTATATATATATA